GCGCAGCGTGCAGCAGGCGTTGTAGATGTTCTGGCCATCCAGCGACTATGGGGAGACAATGGTGAGTGTGTGTGGCCCAAGAATACAACTGCCCACCTCACCAGAAGCCCAACTCACCAGCTTAGCGTGCTGGGCGCTCACAGGGTCAGCATACTGCAGCAGCGCCTGGAACTGGTTGTTCTTGGTGAATGTGATAATCTTCAGGACTGTACCAAACTTAGAGAAGATCTGCAAGAGAGCTGTGTGAGTCCCAGCTGAGGGCAAATGGGACCCACTCCCTGGTGTCGGGCATGTAGCCACCCACCTGGTGCAGCACGTCCAGGGTCACTGGGTAGAAGAGGTTTTCCACAATGATCCTGAGCACTGGGCTCTGGCCTGCCATTGCCATTCCAGCATCCACGGCAGCAGCAGAGGCTGCCAAGGCCAGATTTCCAGACTGCACAGAGTTCACAGCCTGCAGGGCTGCCTGGGCACGCTGTGGATGGATGAACCATCATGAGCTGCAGCCCAGGGCTGAGGCAGGGAGCCAGACCACCCACCCGCCTGTGCCTGCCCTGTGGACTCACCGCCTGGTTCGGCGAGCTGTCAGTTTTGAGCTCCTTGTGGTTAGAGAACTGGATGTAGATGGGCTGTCCACGAAGCACGGGCGCCACTGACGTGTAATAGTTGACCATGGTATTGGCAGCCTCCTCTGTGTTCATTTCAATGAAGGCCTGGTTCTTTCCCTTCAGCATAAGGAGGTTGGTAACCTTCCCAAAGGGCAGCCCCAGGGAGATGACCTCGCCCTCAGTGACATCACTAGGTAGCTTGCGGACATGGATGACTCTGGATGGAACCCCTGTGCTCCTGTTGTCGCCTTTGAACTTCTTGCTATCATTTCCATTGGCTGAAAAATTGAATATGGGTGCATTTGGGAGACTGCAAGCCCTTTCCTGCCTCTGGCTGGGTCCTACTCTCCCCAACCCCTCTCATTGCCAAGCCAGGCTTCCCTAGGCCACTCCCTGATTGAGAAAAGCCAAGTGTGGCCTGAGCACTCTCACCTGCTGAAGTCGAGCTGCTCATGATGAAGGGGCCGTTGCTGACACACGTGGAGAAGAGCTCGTCGGATCCCCGCTGGGAAGAGAGCATGAAGCTTCAACTCCAGGCTGACCCTTCCTTTCCTACCCACCGAGCATACACCAGCCCCCAGGGATGTGTACAACGTCCCAAGCCTGCCTGTGGCTTAGTGCTCAAGACCAGCAGCCTTCAGTGGGTACTGAGGCTCTGTGCCAGCAGCCATGTGGAAGGGAGAACGCACAGCTGCCAGCTTCCACAGAAACAAAGCTCAACCCTGCTGCCCTGGCCGTACTCCAAGGAGAGACAGTGGCTATACCTGGTGAGTGGGACCATCCAGTGATGGAAGCCACTCACTGGGGAACATCCCAGTTGACCCCACAGTGGGGACCCCTCCTTGCCAGAAGCAATTTGCTGAGCCAACCCCTCCCTGGAAACCAGAGGACCTAGGCTCAGTACAGCAAGAGATGGCCTGCCACCCAGAGTAAGCCTCAGACCAGGGGCTGGGGGGGGGGGGCAGCACTCCCTGGTTATCTATTCCTAGCCAGCCACAGATCCTGAAGTTAAACACCAAGGGACGTGGGGCCACCATCTCGTCCATGTCTTATTTCACCCTCACTGAACATTACCAAGGGCACTGGCTTCGCTTCCATCCTCCAGTAACACTGTGAGCTGACAGGTCTAGAGATCAGCACCTAGGAACCCCAAGAAGTCCCTCATGTCCTGCACCCACCTGAAGCTCACACATTAATGTCTTATCAAGGGCTACAGAGAGACATGGACCTGCCCAGCATGAGGGGCAAGACCCTGACATGCAAAGCCCAGAACACCGTGTCCACATCAGAGTTGCAGAAGTCACTTCCTGTTGGCAGCCAGTCTCCCGTGAGGTCTCTCAGGCCTGACCCTACTGGGAGGGTGACTTCCGCCTGGACTGGGCGGGAGGAGCAGCACTTCCTGTAGTTCTGTTCCTGGCAGGCTGCCGGAGCACTAACAGTCTCCTACTAGGTTCAGGAGCCCAGACTATCAGAGGAACTCCAGCACCTGGGCCAACAACCCCAAGTGGATATGCAGACAGAGGCACGTGAGACCACAGCACAGGGAAGCCTGTCAGCGCAGCCTTCTGAATGCTCGCCAGTCCAGAGCAAGGAAGGCCTGGTCTCTTTCTCCATGCAGAGCTGCCTGCTCCTAACTTGCCCAGTGTGCTGTGGCTAGCACAATGAAGTCTTGTGCAGACGAGGAGCCACAAGGCAATCCAGGTCAGTCACCTGCAGGCCTGGACCTTAGTGGGGTCCCTCCCTCCACCACTGAACACACAGGTTAGTCTGAATGTGAGGGAAGGGAGAGCGGCAGGCAGGTGCAGACAGTCTACTCAGGAAAGAACGAAACTAGTCCAGACAGCAGCCTGGTAGTCAGCTGTCAGTGGCTGGGGTGACCCTGGGGTCTCACCTGCGGGGCCTTCTGAGGGTAGGAACTACTACCACCCACTACAGCCTAACAGGCAATTCTAAATAGCTCACCCAACAGAGCGTGACCAATCCTCGACACACAGACCTACAGCCCTTCTAGTCCTAGGCCCCATCCCCAAGTGCCAATGGAGCTAGAGGTGTGCTACTGTCCCCTGCTATGAGTCCAGGGGAGACCTGCCTGGTCAGCAGAGACTCAGACAAGTCTACAATCTTCACCTCAGAACATGCCACACCTCCAAACCAAACCCATGTGGGCGGGCAACACTCAATAAGTGCCCAAATGCCTGAGCCGAGCCCACTGCTCATATGAAGACCTAAGGCAGGACAAAACGAGTCAGAAAGAGGCCATCAGAGCTGCAGTCAGACCCAAAAAAGGGTCTTACACATCACTTGGGAGGCAAGTGTGTATGCACCTGTGCCATCCTCTGCCTACTAGTCTTTGTAAACTGGACCAAGGGCAGGCCACCTTACAGCAGGCACACTCTAGCTTTGACTACAGCAAGGCTGGGTGCAATGCCAAGCAAGAGACACCTACCTTTGTACCGACTGCTATGTCTGGGACGATGCTGTGGAGAGAAAAAGAGACATCAGCACCGTGGGGCCTGGAGGGCCCTCTGCCACTTGGGCAGGGAAGTGAGCCACCCATTGAGTCTCCACTTGAAAGGGGGCCACCATTGTCCTCGGAGCCCCTCCCTCCTTCCATGCAGGGCCCTGCTCCTGCCTTCAAACACACTAAGGCGGCCACTTTCTACAAAATCTACCAGTGACCCGGGTCCACTATTCGACTCCTGGGTATTCTATAATCCCAGAAGCCCAGAAAGCAGGTAAAGGCAGTAGCCAAAGACTGATTCCTGAGTGGGTACGGGAAGCTCCAGAGCCAGGTAGCTGATGGCAGTCAAAGTGGCCTTGTTACCATTTACTAACCAACAGAGATGCCCGGATACACCCTAGGTTACTGATCAACCCCAGCCCCTCGTGACTGTACTCCATCTCACCTGCTGCACCTAGCCCGCATTAACAGGCAGCAGCAAGCCTGCCCTGGCTGGCCAGGTTCCCAAGTGACTCCAAGAGTTCCGCCTAGGAAGTGGTGCCTGGGTTGCGTGACACTGATCGTTAGTGGGCACCTCTCTGCTTTACTGCATGTCTTCCAAAACCCTTTGAGACAGTCTCTCTACAAGACCCGGCTGAGCCAGAACGCAGCGATCTGCCCGGATTAAGGGTGCACACCACCACACCCGGCTCAAAGAGTCTTGGTAACTCGCTAACCGACTGCATCTGCAGGCTCTCGCGTGTCACATCAGCACTCAGGCTGGGACAGGAGAACTGCAACAGGGACAAGCCCTGAGGCCACGCCGAAATACTTTATTTTGTAGGGCTGATTCTTAAAAGAAAAGAGCAAAGCTGCTACTAAGCGTGGTGACTCACAGCACTACGAAGTTGGGAACCTCAGGAATTCAAGGTCAGTCTGTCTCGAAAAACCCAAACAAGTTTCAAGAAAAAAGTCAGAACTACCAACGCAGGCCTTTAGTCCCAGCACTCGGGAGGCGCGGGCGCGGATCTTTGAGTTTGAGGCCAGCCTGGGCTACACTGAGACCCCTGTCTCCAAAACAAACCCGAAACTACAAACAAAAGTTTGCCGAGCGTAGCGGCGCGTCCCGGAAGCGCGCGGGAGGCCAGAGGCCAGGCGGGCGCGCGCTCCGGCCCATCGCGCCTCGGCCGGGGGCTGCGGACCCAGACCAGTTCTTCGCGACACCTTCCCACGAGGTGGGGAGGGCGCGGCCTCAGGCCCACGCACGCGCGCGCCGCCGGACGGGGAGCGCGAAGGGACATCCGTCGGGCACGCGGAAAGCCGGCACCCATTGGAGGACGGGAAGCGGGAAGGGCCAGCGCGCCGGCCCGCTTCCTGTGAGCGCGGCTCACCGGGGAGCGCGTGCACGCGGGGAGGGGGCGCCGGGGAGCTCCGGAGCGCGCGGCCGCCGGAAGTGCGCTGGGAGAGTGGGCTCGAAGGAAACGGGGTATGGGTGCGGCCGCCCTAAACCAGCCGGGCTCCTCGCCGGCCTCCGCCGCCCGGGGTTCCGAGCGCGCCACGCGGACGGAGGCCGGCCACGCGCGCGCGCGGCGCAGCGGCTGGAGGGGCCGGCGTGCGTGGCGGCCGAGCCGGGGACGCGGTACCGAGAGCGGCGGGCGAGGGGCGCGGCACTACTCACCCGTCCATGGCACACGGAGCAGACCCGCGGGGGACGGAGCGGAGGCGCAGGAATAGCAGGGACCGACCCAACGGCTCCGAGTTATAGACTCACAAGATGGCGGAGACGCCCGCACACGTCCCCCGCGCGCGCTATTCATTGGCTCCCACCGCGGACGGTGGGCATGGCTAACCGTGCCTGCCCCCGCGAACGCCTCCCATTGGCCAGGGCGCTACTCCGAGGGCGAAACCCAGACCGGCTGCAGACGGCTATTGGGCGAGACGTCCTTCAGTCAAGGCGGAGGACGGAAACGACCTGTGGGGGAGGGGGAGGGCGTGAACGAGGCGGCGCACGTGATAGCATCCGAGCCAATGAGTGAGCCCCGGTCCGGCCCGTGGGAAGCCATCTTGAGAGTGGGTACGTGGCGGGTCAGATGCAGAGAAGCGTGCTTGCGGGAGGTTGCCGCCATGTTGCAAGCGGGCAATGGCAGCCGTTGGCCTTCAGCGTGAGGGCAAAGCGAAGTGTGTCGCCATCTTAAAACCGGGCAGTAATTCCCTTATCGCCCCAGCTTGCTTGCGGTCACGTGACCAAAACTTCGCCTTTAAGCCGAGTTTGTCCTAGACTAGAGAGCAGGGCGATGGAGGCCACGTGCTTCGTAGCCACAGTCCCGACTTGATTGTGCAGTATTCCTTTCCATCTTTTGTCTACCCCACAGCGGCCAAGCGCCACCTCTGTTGCAGCAATGGGGAAATTGACAAAACGGACCGGCGTGTGGCCGGCTCTGCCTATAGCTGGGGAAAACGAGACCACAAAGTGTCGAGTTGTGTGCCCTACAATTAGGCTCAGGAGCAAGCACAGTCCACTGGAGGACCAGAGCCTCGCCTTCTTGAGCCTCCACCCCGAGACAGCACTCAAAATGGATACCCCAGGAGCCAGGGTTCTGCATTCCAGTCTTGGGGTGGGGGTGAGAGCTGGAGCCGGGTTCTTCAGAGCCTAGTGCAGGCTGTAGAGAGATTCTGGGCATGCCTTTGATGTGGCTCCCAAAGACGCAAATTATTCGGATTCTCGTTGACTTCGTTTTCTGCTAAAAAAAAAAAAAGAAGAAGAAGGAGGAGGAAGAGGAAGAGGAAGAAGAAGAAGAAGAAGAAGAAGAAGAAGAAGAAGAAGAAGAAGAAGAAGAAGAAGAAGAAGAAGAAGAAAAAGCCCAGGAAAGGGGAAAAGTTTCTCCCTCCACAGAGGTGAGCCGAGCACCCTGCCTCCCTTCTCTGTGGTCCTGAGCGCCGAGTAGGAGGAGGGTAGGTCTGGCAGCCACGCTGGTTTCTTGCAGGCCTGGCCAGGGGCCCAACAGCCTTAGAGCCCTAACGCGGGCCTGGTGCCAGAGGATTCCAGCCTGGATTAGGGGCGGCTGCCGATTTCCACGGAGGCCCCTCCAGGAGAGGTCTTTAAGGCCCCAGTCAGCCCGCAGAACAGCTAGCTTGAAGGCCCAGAATCACTAATCAGGACCGTCCCGCGGATTTAGAAGAAGCCTCCCAGCAAGCAGAGGATTTGAGCCCTCTGGGACTCCCATCAGGTCCTGACTGCACCATTCGAGGCCAAGGTTGACTGCCAGTCTTTGTTCTCTTGGCTGGTGCCAAGCATGGGCCCCACCCTCGGAAGCCAACCTGTATTGGTGTATGTGCTGGGGTGGAGACTGCCGGTCTCCAAGCACAGGTCTACACTGGCTAAGTCTATTAAAAGCCACTTTGGAGCCTGGACTCTTGAAATGGCCTTTTTTGTCTTCCTGTGTGGTTTCTAGTCAGACCTCCAACACTCTACTGAGATTCCCTAACCTGCCTGACTCCCTCTTTGAAGCTCTGCCTCAGGGCCTGTGTCCCCCATCTCTGAAACAGGCAGAACCCCCATGAAGAGAGCGAGCCACAAAGCCAGAAGGAAAAGCCTATGTGTGAAGTGCAGGTCTTCCATAACTGTCTACAGTGGCCAGGAGAGTGGAGGGAGAGCTGGGCTGACCCCAAGTAGTGGGCTGCAGAGAAGAGAGGAACAGGGCCACAGCTCAGCAAGAACCCTTACCAAGCTAGGAATAAAGTAAGGGTCCCTAGGAGACAACAGGAGAATTGGGAGTTTAAGAGCAGCCTGTTGTACAGAGAGTTCTTTGTTGTTGTTGTTGTTTTTATTTTTGATTTTGTTTTTTCTTTTTTTTTTTCTTTTCTTTTTTGGAGTTTTCGAGACAGGGTTTCTCCGTAGCCTTTTGGTTCTTGTCCTGGAACTAGCTCTTGTAGACCAGGCTGGCCTCAAACTCACAGAGATCCGACAGCCTCTGCCTCCCGAGTGCTGGGATTAAAGGCATGCGCCACCACTGCCACCACTGCCCAGCTGATTTTGTTTTTTCTGAGATGGCTTCTTTGTAGCCCTGCCTGTCCCGGAACTCACTCTATAGACCAGGCTGGCCTCAAACTCACAGATCCAGACCTGCCTGTCTCTGCCTCCCAAGTGCTGAGATTAAAGGTGTGTGCCACTGTGCCCAGCTTGGATTGTTTTGAGACAAGATCTCAACTCTGTGACCCTGGTTGTCCTAGAATTTATTAATCACCTAGGCTAGCCTCAAGCCTGCAGTGATCCTCTTTCTGAGTCAGGGAATGACAGGTCTAGACTGGTACATGCAGCCAGAGTGAGTTCAAGACCAGGTTGGGCCAGGCAGTGGTGGGGCCAGGCGGTAGTGGTGCACGCCTTTAATCCCAGCAGAGGCAGGCGGATCTCTGTGAGTTTGAGGGCAGCCTGGTCTACTGTGAGAGTTAGTTAGGACTGTTACACAGGGAAACCCTGTCTCAAAAAACCAAACAAACAAAAGACCAGGTCGGGGCAACTTAGTCAAGAGGGAAGGAGACCTGACTCAGAGGTGGATCCCCCCCCCCCCCCCCCCCCCCCCCCCCCCCGCCTAGAATCCCCCAGTAAGGGGCTGCTGGGGAGTGGTCAGGATGGCACCCCACCTAGAATCAGTCCCCCCAGTAGTTGTGGTGGGGCTCGAGGCATGGCTCAGCAGTAGGATTTTTTTTTTTTTTTTTTTTTTTTTTTTTTTTTTTTTTTTTTTTTTTTTTTTTGTGTTTTTTTTTTTTTTTTTTTTTGTT